TGCTTCAGGAAGAAAAAGAACATATAGCAACAATGTCTCATCAAATAAAACATATCAATAAATACAAATTACAAAAAAAGAAACAGGCAAAATAGAGACAGATTCAAAGATAGAAAGCAGGCTGAAAGCTCACTGGGGTGGTGGTTGGAGGGGTGGAGGGATGAAGAAAAACGAGAAAGAACACCCACATGGACACCCACAACAGTGTAGTAACTGCGGGGAGTGGGGGTTGGAGGGGTTGAGGTGGAAAACGGTATAGAGAAGATAAATGGTAATGGAAAAAATACAATAAAAACAAATGGAAATTCTGCTGTTGAATGTATAACAACAAATGAAAAATGCATTATAGGGGCTAAATCATACAGTTAGTTGACAGAAAAAAAAAAAAAGTGTACCGAAAGACAGAAGGATTGAAATTATGCAAATTGAAGATCAGAGACAAAAGAAGAAAAATAAAGTCTCAGAGAAATGTGTGACACCATAAAGCACATGAATATAGACATAGTAAGCCCTGGTCAGGTGGCTCAGTAGGTTGGACCATTGTCCCATACACCAAAGGGTGCAGGTTCAATCCCTGGTAAGGGCATGTACCTAGGTTAAGAGTTCAATCCCCAGTCAGGGCACATGTGGGAAGCAACTGATTTATGTTTCTCTCTCACATAGATGGTTTCTCTCCCCCCTCCCCTCTTAAAATCAATAAAAATATCTTTGGGTGAGGGTTAAAAATAAAAAACTATAATTAAAAAATATAGACACATAATAAGAGCACCAGAAGAAGAAAGAGAGAGGATCAAGATGGCAGAGGAGTGAGTGGAAGTCACAATGACCTCCTCCCACGGCCAATCTGGAATTACAACAAAATGGTGGAGAAATCACCTGGAACAAGCAACTGAACAATAGCAAGAGAGGAGCCTTATAACCTCAGACAGACCGAAGAAATCAGCTTTAGCACAGCCTAACTGGTAAAGAGTGTGGTAGAGACTTGAGAAGGTGGGTGGGGCACCCACAGGCAGCAGCACCAGAAGGATAATGAAACGGCCAGTTGGATCCCCCTGAGAAGAACATGGTCTAAACCATATATGGGGATCTCCAGCCTACAGCCCCAGAGCCTGAAAAGTACAGATAACAGCCAGCTGCGAAAAGTGGTAGGACTGCTCTCTGCCAGAGACAGGTAGCTGGAAATGCAAAGAGCCTTTTAAAGGGCCAATGCATAAATTTTTATTTGTAGCCACTTACCCTGGTCTGCCGCAGAGGTGGGGGCAGAATGGGCTAGAGGCACCTGAGGAGAGACAGGGAAAGGAGGCTTTGGGGAGATAACAGAGAGAGTAGCCAGCAGAATCCTGGTGCTGACTCCTCCCCCATATGGCAGCAGCCATCTTGCTCAGGCAGACCACTCCCCTGAGTGGCAGAAGCATGAGAGGACCCAATAGTCCCCAGGAGGGACTCTGACCTGCTCTGTGGTACCTAAGCCTGACTGCTGAGTGCATAGTGACCAGATTAACTGAAGGAGACAGCCACAGACAGTAGAGTCCTGGAAGTCTCAAAGAGACTGCCTAAGGTCACACAGGGTCAACAGCTGACATCATCAGAAGCAGATCCAGAAAGAAAAGCCAATGGTCTCCTACCACAGAAGTTCACACCACAAAGTCAGGAAATCAAGACAGATCAATTTAAGAAGCAGAAGCAAAAAAGAAGAGTCTCGCAAATAATGGGAAGACAAAGATATACCCCCCATTCAAAGGGAAAGGAGGAATCACCAGAGAGAACTAAATGAAATAGAGACAAGTAAACTATCAGATATTGAGCTCATATGAAGAATACCATTTCTGAACTGAAGAACACAGTAGAAGGAATCAAAAGCAGGCTAGATGAAGCAGAAGATTGAATCAGTGAGATGGAGGATAAGGTAGAAAAAAGCTCCCAGAAAGAACAAGAAATAAAAAAAAGATTAGAAAAGAATGAAGAGGCATTGAGGGAAATGCAGGACAATCTGAAACGCAATAATATTCACATAATAGGGATACCGAAAGGAGAAGAAGGGGAAAAAGGGATAAAGAACCTCTTTGAAAAAGTAATGATGGAAAATTTTCCCAGTTTGCGGAGAGAAAAGGTCTCATGGATCCAGGAAGCACAGAGGGCCCCATTCAAGAGGGACCCAATGAGGCCCACTCCAAGACACATCATCATTTAAATGGCAAATATCAAAGACAAACAGAGAATCCTAAAGGCAGCAAGGGAGAAATAGGTAGAAACATATAAGGGAGCCCCAGTATGGCTCGCAGCTGACTTCTCAACAAAAGCACTACAAGCCAGAAGGGAATAGCAAGAAATATTCCAAGTCATGAAAAGCAAAGGCCTGCAACCAAGACTACTCTACACAGCAAGGCATGCAATTAAAATGAAAGGCAAAATAAGGAGTTTCCCAGGCCAAAAAAAAACAAAAAACAAAAGGCTAAAAGAATATACCTCCACCAAACCAGCACAGCAAAATATGCTAAAGGGACTGCTTTAAGAAAATGAAAAAAGAGAGCCTATGAATACCCAGTTCCTTTCACAGTCACCAATACTTGATATTACCAGTATTTTTAATACTTATTAATCTGTGACAGTGATGTTATTTTAATTGTTACTTTATTATTTGTTGAAACTAAACCTGTTTGTGTGTATTTCTTGCCTATTTCTATTATCTTTTAAAAAGCTTTAAATGACTTTTTGGTATTCTTTATCTATTTTTTGTTTAAAGGTTTATAGAATTTTTTCCCTAAAAAAAACCCCCAAAATCTATTAACCCTTTTTCAGATGTGCTGCAAATACTTTCCTATTCTATTGCCCTTTAACTTTTTTTATATGTATATATTGTATATAGTCTTAAATGTTTAATATAGTCATATTGTCAATATTTTACTTTATAGCTTCTGGGTTTGAATATTTTATTTCAGGGTAAGAAAAGTATTATTTTGTATTTTCTCCTAAAACTTCTTAGATTTTACATATTGATTTTTAACTCAGCTGAATATTTTTTGTATACTGTGTGAAACAGGGCTCTATATTTGTTTTAATTCAAGTAATAGTGGTCCATGCACCTTATTTGTTGAAAAAGCCTTATTTGCGCCATTGATTTGAAATATCAATTTAATCACTTATTACATTGTTAGCCAGATATATATGTTTGTTTCTAGAAAGCCCATTTGATGTCATTGATTTACTTGATCATTTCTGTGCTGGTGTCATGTTTTAATGACTGAGACTTTATAGTGGGTCTAAATTTTTTAATATTTTATAATGGATTTTGACAATTAAAATAAATAAATAAATAATCAATCTGCATTTAAAAAAAGAAAAAGAAAGAAGGAACTCCTACCTTTTGCAACAACATGGATGGAACTGGAGAATCTTATGCTAGGGGAAATAAGCCAGTCGGTGAACAGCAAATACCGTATGATCTCACCTATATGTGGAATCTATTCAACAAAAAAAACTAACGAACAAAAGAAACCACAGGCATGGAAACATGGAATAGACTGAAAGTGACCAGAGGGGATGGGGAAAGAGGAAAATGGTGGAAAGGGTAGGGGCTAGACAAGGAACATGTATGAATGACCCATGGACATGGATAACAGAGTGGGAACTGACTGTGGGAGCAGGGGGTTGGGGTGGGGCGGGGTGGGGTGGGGTGGGTAGAGTAGGGCAAAAGCGGAAAAACTGAGACAACTGTAATAGAATAAACATGATTTAAAAATAAAAATTTTTTTTAAAAAAAGAAGAAAGGGATAAAGTAGAAAAATATCTGAAAAAATTATCCAAACTGCTCAACGAACTTTAAGTAGGACAAAGGCAAAAAGATCAGCTATCAGATACATCATACTAAAAATTGTGAAAGCAAAGTGCAAAAAAAAATCTTTAAAGCTGCAAGAAAAAATGGCTCAAATATAATAGGAAGGCACATAAAACAGACACAAGGGATAACCCTGGACACCTACTACATAGGACACTCTGCTACAAACAGACTACAAACTACAGAGTTAGAAGGAATATTTGTCCTTACATCATTGGAGAGAAAATCCACAGTCCAGTCTGAAAATGGCATTACTCAGTGCTAAAAGCTCATGATACCAAACCTATATTTAATACCCAGTTCAACTGCAGTTTCAACGTCTCCCAGAAACATCTTTCTGGTCAAGCACCAGTAAGGTCATCTGTCACTGTGGGCCTTCTGCATCCCCCATAAAAAGAAGAGGCAACCTACATGATAAAAACCCATCCCCTTCTCTTCTCAGAAAGCGAAAAAAAAGGTGGCTTGGCCCAAAAATAATCCTTTTTTTTTTCTTTTATTAATAGTTCTCTGGTCCCACCCTTCTTCCTATAAAAACCTTCCACTTTATATGGCTGCTTCCAGTTGCTAGATGGTATGTTACTCAATTCATGAATTGGCTTAATAAAGCCAATTAGAACTTCAGGCTTACTCCTTCAATTTTGTTAACAATGGTAATCTACATGATCTGCAATGGGGTGGAAAATCTAAGGCCACATCCTTAGCGGTTAATGTCATTAGTTCATCAAAACATGCAAGTTTCTCCAGTATGCCATGAAATCAAATCTAAACAAAGTGACAGAGATAGAGAAATAGAGACGGAGTTAATAAATGTAACAGTTTCTCCTCCCTTCCCAGCTCTACAACCCCATTCCTCAAGAAGGAAGAAAGATTACAAAGTAGATTAGGAATCATAAAACTGAAAGACTCAAAAGCTTTGAGATGCAGTGTGAAATTAAAACAAGTATGTCAGGTATAAAGAGTTTGACCAAGTCTTGGGAGTTTGACTTACATTAGTAAAAACTTGATATTCAGGGATGAGATGAAAAGCAAATAAAAGCTATCTATTACAGCAAAATATCTTAGATCCATGTGGAAGTTTCAAGGCCCTCTGGATATTGTGGGGCTAGAACAATGACAGCAAAACCTAATTGTTTGTAAAAGCCTTAAAAGATAAAATTTAACTCACCTTCTGTGTCCTCAGCCATATCAAGTTTAAGCGCCTTTGTTCCATCAAAGCAAAAAGCCCTGATGGAATTCAGCCCTAATAATAAAGCATTCTGCTTTATTTTGTTTACTTTGTTGGCTATTTTATCCAGTGCTATTACTTCTCCCTAAACAAACAAACATATAGTGTAAATATAAAGCAATCATGAAAATTATTAAAACTAAGAAAACTATGAAAAATTATCATCTTTCCCACTTTCCTCCTACCCCTAGTTTTAAAATTGGCATACAATAAGCACTAACTAAATATTTATTTAATCAATCAACCAATTAATCACAATCAATCATTAAAATCTGATTCCTGATCAAGAAAGCTATCTGTAAGTGAAGATACAGGAATGTATGAGTATTTCAGGAACCATTTAGTTTCACAGAATTTGAAACAAACAAAAAAGATAGCATCAATTGGCCATATCCTTTTCTCTCTTTTTTGAAAATGTATTGATTTGAGAAAGAGAAAGGAAGAAAGAGAAAAAGAAAGAGAGCAAGAGAGAGAGACATTGACTTGTCATTTCACTTATGTATGCATTCACTGCTTGATTCTGGTATGTGCCCTGACCAGGGATCAAACTTGCAACCTAGAGCATCGATCAGGATGACACTCTAACCAACGGAGCTACCAGGCCAGGGCGCCATGTCCTTCTTGAGATAAAGAATCGTAGTTGAAGTACAGAGTGGCTCCAAGGCCACAGTGAGTTCTAAATACAAATAAAACTAGCTCATAATGAAAAAATATACATTGGCAAATATGTATACATAGGAAAAATACAGTAAAATCTGAGCTAAAATTATACAATGACGTACTTATTATATTTTGTGACAATGAAACAGCTTTTATAATTAAGCCAGATCATCAGGTTTTTATGTACCCTAAAACTAGAAGCACACACACATTTATGTATCTTATATATATATGTGTTCACATATCAACGCTATGTATTTTGACACTTTAAAAATACACTGTCAACTTTCTGTGCCGATAGCGCACTCACCAACATGGCGAATGTTCCTAAAACCGGCCGGATTTTCTGTAAGAAGTGTGGCAAGCATCAACCCCATAAATCACAGAGTACACATGAAAGGCAAGGATTCTCTACGTGTGCAGGGAAAATGGCATTACGACAGGAAGCAGAGTGGCTATGGTGGGCAGACTAAGCCAATTTCCAAAACAGGGCTAAAACTACAAACAAGATTGTGCTGAGGCTTGAATGAAAGCAACTGCAGAGCTAAGAGAATGCTGGTTATTAAGAGATGCAAGCATTCTGAACTGGAAGGAAATAAGAAGAGAAAGGGCCAAGTGCTCCAGTTTTAAGCTTCATATTTTGTTTTACTATGTAACAAGAAAATCTTGAGGATATGTTCACTTCAAAAAAATATATATATACTCTCAAATTATTTTAGTAGTAGAATTTATTTTAATAGTTTAAAACATGGTATAATTAGCAACATGGAAAAATCTCTTAAATGTTTCACTTAAACTTATTTTATGACAAAAGAATTCTATAAATGTATTAGCAAATTTGGGATTCAAGAAGGTCTTGAGATATTCTTCACAAGTGATAACTGTTTACTGAACTTAATATGTGATGACTGACATCAATGAATAGCCTTTTCTTTGGCTGAGTCTGAAATAAATCAGATTATGAATGTCTGCATGATGTTTCTTAAGTTACATGCAGTTCCACTTTCATCACTGAAATATCTAATACAGCGACAGTTTTGTTGGGAAGACAGTCTTACCTGGTCATGCATTAGTGCTGCAATGTGCGTTGTTTTGCCTCCAGGTGCTGCACACAAATCTAAAATCTTCTCTCCAGGTTGAGGATCCAGAACATGAGTTACTACAGCAGATGGCAAATTCTATAAAGGAAAAAAAGTCAATTATCAATGATTCTAAATCAATTTAAATTTCAGAATCAGAGAATGTAGAGAAACCTTTGGAGATAATCCAGTACAGTATCTTCTGCCAAGAGAACATTTTTTATAACTAAAATGGTTTCAGGAAATTCTCAATATCCTAGAGTATCCTATAATCTCATAGGACATTCACATGTACATATACACACATGCACACACACAATGCATTTCTCCAATCAATCCAGCAATAAAGGCATATTGTCCTTTCTTTTTTCTTTTTTGTATTTTTTTCCATTTATCCCTCTTAAATCCTTTTCCACCTTTGCCTACCTCCTTCCTTTCTCAATTCAGTGGTTCTCAGTATTTTGGAGGCCAGAGATCCCTTAGGAATATGAGAAAGCTCTGGATCTTTTCCCCAGAAAATGTATAAAAATTTGCAATTTCATGTGCTTCATCATCTAACTCTCACTTGAAAATCCCAGTTTATGCTGCTAATGCCACTGAAAGGCATGTCTGGGTTCCTATCTTCCTCCCACTACCACATTTTGGTAGGAGAAAAATAAAATGTAAAGAAGTCTTAGCTATTTTTGATACACAGCTAGAAATATATGAGATTATACAACCCAAATATACCTCCATCTACAACAGTAAGTTGTAAGTTATATTAAATCACTATTAGTATTAATTATATATGGACTGTTACTACAGGATGACAGCCTTAAATAATATAGAATATCACAAAATAGTTGTATTTTTTAAAAAATTAGCAAGAAAAAAAGTAAAGACTAACAGGCATAGGGCTATTTTAAGGTTTCAATTAATTCTTACACCAAAACATTTACATCTAAAACATTTACATATCAAGAACTGTGAGAAGGCTACAACACTCAGGTGAATCCAAGATGACCAGTCCAAAACAAATCAATGGCGAGAAAGGAGACACAAACCAGCAAATTGCCCCCCGCCCACCCCATATAGGAATGATTAAAATCAATGCAAACAACTAAGGTACCTGAAAAGTAGTGCCATAATACTGAACACTAAGGAACAGCTTCACCTGTTACAGATAGTTTCTCTCCATAGTCTGGTCTATTCCAAAAAATTTTTTAAATTGAACTCTAATATGAAAACACTAAAACATTTATGTAGCTAATAGAAATTCTTTATCTAGGGATTGGTTATGCTTAAATCTTAATAGATATGTAACAATGATGACAGACATTTTTACTAAAATGTAACATGTTAAAAACCTTCTGGTCATGCAATAAGTAAAAATTATGAAATAGTCCAAGTAAAAAAGCTTCACTAAGTATATAAATGATGACAGTTTCTGGTTTTTCTTTTTAACCAATTTATTCTACTATCTTTCTCTACAGTAGTTCTCAATCCTGGCTACATAAGAGAATCACCTAGTGAGTTTTTTTTTTTAATGTTCAGAAACAAAACAATCATAAAATTCAATTGGAATCACAGAAGACCCTAAATAGTCAAAGCAATATTTAGAAAGAAGAACAAAGCTGGAGGCAACACACTATCAGATTTCAAACTCTGCTACAAAGGTTCAGTGGTTAAAACAATGTTACTGGCATAAAAGCAGGCACAGATCAATGAAACAGACTAAAGAGCCCAAAAATAAATTCATGCACATGTGACAAAGGAGGCAAGAACACACAATAGGGAATGGACAGTCTCTTCAATAAATGGTGTTGGGAACACTGAACAGCCAGCCACATGCAGAATGAAACTGGGCCACTGTCTTCCACCATATACAAAAATCAACTCAAAATGGATCAAAGACTTGAATGCAAGACTTGAAACTATAAAACTAGAAGAAAACAAGGGCAGTAAGCTCGTTGACACAGGTCTTAGCAATGACTACTTTTTGAAACTGACACCCAAAATAAAAGCAGCAAAATAAAAACGAGACTACATCAAAGTGAAAAGCTTCTGGAGCGTCCCAGTCAAGATGGCAGAGTAGGCAAACACTGTGTTCGCCTCCTCCTGCAACATGAAAATTACATCTAAATTACATAACAACTCCCTGAAGATTAGCTAAACAGAATCCCCATAACTGATATAAAGATGAAGCCACACGGAGACCGGTAGGAGTAGAAGAGAGACTGCAACAGGCTGGTCCCACATCAATGTGTGGCAGATAAAAATTGGGAGGGATATCTCAGCTTTGGAGGTTTCCCCTGAGGAGCAAGGGGTCCCCAGCCCCACACCAGGCTTCTAGCCCAGGGCTCCAGTGCCAGGAAGAGAAGCCCCCATAACTTCTGGCTGTGAAAACCAGCAGGGATTGTGGCTGAGGGAGGCCTTTCGGTGTCTCAGGCAATGAAGCCCTTAAAGCGTCAGCACACAGACTTCACTCACAAATTCACTTAGTCTGAGCTCCAGTACAGGGGCAGCTGTTCAAAAGTGCCAGGGCCGTGCGGAGAGGAACTGAACTGCCTGGTTTCAGGGCGGGGGCTGGAGGGACAGCTCTGTCTGGGGATGGAGTGCTGGCAGGCACCACTCTTTCTTTTTTTAAGCCCTCCCCTGACACAGCCAGCAAGCACAGGCCGACCTGCTGGCAGGTGCTGTTGTTCCTTCGTTAGGCCCTTCTCCCACCCAGCCAGCAACGCAGAGCAGCTTCAAATCCGAGGGATCCATTAACTTGGGTAACACCTCTGACCTTCAGTATCTTCTTCTTATATTGGAAGTAATAATGATAGTAGTGATAATAATGCCATCTACCCAGATTGCAACAAATCAGTTAATGTACACACAGTACTTAATAAACCAAACAAGGCAAAACAAATTACATGTTATAGCACCACAATAACCACCTGACAAAAATCTGTTAGTAGTAAACCATCTGAATCTTACTCAAAGTTACAAATGAACACTTATATACATCAAATGCATGTATTATTTAGAGATTAACATTTTGAGATGGAAAGCGTCAATTATTATAAGCTTTATATTAAAGCACCTGGGCAAAACGGCAGTCAATCAGTTGAGGGGAAAAAAGGATGCTTACATATTGTCTTCTTACTGCTTAACCAAAGGTAGATCAGAAAATTTATAAATAGACCACCATAAATGTTAAGTGAACTACAAAAAACACTCTTAGATGTCCAATAATTCACTGTAGTATATGTTGCAATGTCACTAAATATTTTACTTTTATAATTACTTACCTGTAAAAATAAGTAGCTGGACAGTACACTGTCAAATGAGGGGCTGAGATATAATGGTTCTGTCATTCTTATGCCTATACCTCTGAAAAGCAGGAAATCTAATGTTAGTCTGTATGAATTGTATTGTGTATACAGAACAAACTCCATTTCTAAGAACAAACACAACATACTCAACTCCAAAATACTTAGAACATTCCAGTGAATTGTTTCTGAATGTCTACTTGAAATAGGAGGCTGTCAGGAGAATTGAAAAGGATAAAGTTACACAAATTTTTCATTTGGGTATAAGTAGAATAAAAAGCAAAGAACATCTGATAGCTACCCCTCTGACAGTCTCCTTCGCACCATACCTACTAGCACAAACATATCCAACTATACAGTATTTAACTTAACACCACAAAAAAATAATTTAAACCAATTACTGTTCAGCTATGGAATTTACATGGTTCTTTTGAAACTATTTTTATAATATGTAACTCCATATAATAATACAAAGTACAAGATCTCCTAGGATAAATAGTCTGTTATTAAATGAGTCTACCTCTATGAATCTATGAATCATTCAAGTCAGCTGCACTTCAAGAAACAAAGGGTACAAATGTATTAGGTGACTACTAGTAGAATTGGTTCTCAAATTTCTAAAGAATATAAATAAGAAGCAGGATGTACATGTAGCATTTCTTTGTTATGGAAGCATGCTTTATCTGACATAGGCAGAGAAAGAAATCATAACAGTATTAACTGATACTTGGTTTAAAAATTGAGTTTAAAAATCAACAGTTTTTTGAAAGATGGCTGCTTCGTACTCCAACCAACAAAGAAAACATTACTCCAAAAAGTCTGTTGGCAGTTACTAGAATTGCCACATCAAACAAGATGAGAGGATGAAGGGTGTACTACCTATAATGAACTATAGGAGGTAGTTAAAATATCAGTTCCCTATTAGAGAGCCAAAGATAAACAGATCTATGCTTTATCTTCATATTCATAAAATCTTCTAAGGAGAATAAAATGTTTGTTCTTGGACATTTGGAAAGTACTGCTAACTAGAGCTAAGGAATTCAATAACCTGTTTCCTCAGAAGAATTAATTTTAACTATACACCCAGATTGTTACAACATGAAAAACTATTTCAGGAATCAAAGGTATGGTCCAGTCCTATGTGGGAGAGGAAGAAACTTCCCTCCATCCTCCTAGGTTCTCATGGCTGGTCTAATAATTAAATCTACATGAGATAATAGATTAACAAGAGAAAATAACCAAATTTAATTATATACATATGTATGGGACTCCCACATATAAGAGAGTCTGAGACTCTACACACATGAGAGGTTAAGACACAGAAAGGGAAAATTAGATGTATGAGGACTGTCCAGAAAAAAATCCAGCCATTGTTAATAGAATGAGAACAGTTCGCATGACATCAATGTAAGCATGCAGCCAAGTAGAGTGGACTGGAGTGCACATGCTTAAACAATGACAACTTCACTGTACTCGTCAGTGGGGGTGGTAGATGACATTGAGTGACCACGTGTACTGGGTGGCCATCGCAATCAAAATCACTAAGTAGAGCAACGAGTCTGCATCAAATCTTGCATTAAGCTTGAACATTCCTCTGTGGAAACTATTCGGTGATTCAGAAGGCCAAGGCTATGGGCAACTGGTGATTGGCAGGTTATTCACGACAATGTACCCACTCATGCATCCTGCCTCATGCAGAGTCTTTGGGTGAAACTTCAAATCACCCAGGTGACTCAGCTCCCCCTGCAGCCCAGATTTGGCACCCTGTAACTTTTGGTTTTTCTCAAAAGTAAAATCACCTTTGAAAGGGAAGAGATTTCAGACCATTGATAAGATTCAGGAAAATACAACAGGGTACTTGATGGTGATTGGGAGAACTGTGTGAGGTTCCAAGGTGCCTACTTTGAAGAGGACTGAGGTGCCATTTTCTTATGTATAAGGTTTCTTTATCTGGTATCTTCTTCAATGAATGCCAATTTTTCCACATTTTGTGGCTGGATACTTTCTGGACAGACCTTTATGACATTCTGATCTAAGGATGGATGAGGTAAGGCATCCTGGGCCTTCAGAGTGGAGGAAAGTCATTCACAGAACAGGATAATAACACGAGCATATATTCACTAATTAGATGTTTGCCCTGCTCTATAGATAGGTCATAAAAAGTTATTTCTGGTGATACCTCTTATTATGGAGAAGGCCCCTAATTTAAATTCTTTAAGGGAGAGGTAAAAATTTCTCATGAGCCTGGAGGGTCTCAATTTCCTTTAGCTCAAAATTATTCACATGCCAAAGGTGTTCGTGCTGGGAAGCCCTGCTCTGAACCCCTTCACCCAGACGGAGAAATTCGCAGCTTTCAGCATGTCTGCTACAGCTGCCAACGTGGACAGATGAAGCTGTCCAGAGAACTCCTAAAAACAGGTTAAAAATACGAAGCAAAATAAGAAATTGGTTTGTCCGTGGATTTAATTTATTGAGAGCCAATAACAACCAGAGATGATTTAAAACTAACTGTATTTTAATTTGGTCTAAGTAATCCAAACATCAATTTTTGACCATAAGTATCTCTGAGAGTGCTGGCTTTCTGGTAAAATTTATTTTTGATTAAAATTTTTTTTTATTATTTCTTTTATTATTTATATTAAACTCACAGGGTTCTTCTTTCACAAAATCAGAATGTTTTAAAAAGATCAGGGCAGGCCCTGGGCAGATAGCTCAGTTGGTTAGAGGTTCATCCTGATAAGCCAAGGCTACGGGTTTGATACCCAGTCAGGGCACATACAATAAACAACCAATGACTGCATCAATATGTGGAACAACAAATAAATCTCTCTTTCTCTCTCTCTTCCCTTCTCTCTCTAAAATCAATTTTTTTTAACTTTCTTAAAGGAAAAAAAGGTCTGGAGAGGCCCATATAATTAATCCTTTATCAAGGTAAGTATTGTTCTCCAAAGATGAAAAAATTTCAAATCAATAAAATTCAAAAAGTAAAATTATTTGCATTATGATGTAACTAGTTGCTTACTTAAAACTCTAATCTGAGCCCTCATTCAGTTACTTAGCAGTGCTTTTTTTCTAAAAAACATGGAAATAGGAATTGTTTTCCAGTTCAACTTATACCAAAAAATTCTTCATATAATGCTACTAGAAATACAGTTTTTTACATTGTTTTTAATTTTCCTTGAAACACAAAAAACACTTTTCTCTCCCAAACAATACTTAATAACATACTTCAGCTCAGGTAGCCCACTGAAGATTTCTTTGCGGCTTAATTCAGAAATCCCGTTTCCAAGAAATACTTTTGTTCCATCGAATTCTTTGGCTCCTTTCTTACATTTGCCTTTAATATCAGAGTATACAGAAACAACATCTCCAGCTTTCATAACTAGAGAAAGAAGAAAATCATAATATAGTAATTTATACTTTGATAGAAGAACAGTTAAAATTCCTTAAGCTAAACTAGAGAACTCTAGGAACATCAATAGTGAGCATGAAATAGCCTAAACTGGTTCATCATTTCAATATAATCCTTAATAAAAAAATATGCTTTTTACTTTTAAATGTCCCTAACAATAAATCTAATTGAAGATTTTTTTTTCTAGGAAAACAAAGAAATGAAATCATCTTCAAAATATCCTACCCTCAGTCGGAAGTCTTCGGCTGAGCAGAAAAGGAAAGATATCTTCTAACTTAAATTATTTTCCCAAAACCTAACATTTCCTAAAAGACTTTATATAAATTTTGATATTTTGGCTCCTTCTTCAAATTTCTAAGTTTCCTTCAAAAGGATTCTTAAAAACACCTTCTCAAATTCCTCAAAGGAATCTTTATAAATCCCATAACCCTATTGGTATTTCTTCAGTTTTCCCATTACAGCTATTAAGGCAGATTTTAATGATAAGCATATACATTCATTTATATGTGTATATGTACTTAGAATACCTTGAAGCTGTGCAGTGCACAGACTTGATTTACATGGCTTATTAAATCTAGTTTTATAGTCATTTCATTAAATTACTTCCAGTAAAAAAAAAACAAAAAACAAAAAAAAAAAACACACACACAACACAACAGTAGTATTAACAATGGGAAACTGTGTTCTACTTCCAAAAAAGACCTCATCTATTATAAATTTACCTAGCCCATTAACCTGACAAGAGTAGTGAGTAGCCTACCAGCTCTATAGCTAGGACTGTTCAAATCACATAGATCAGGAGTCAATGAACTTTCTGTATAAAGGAGAAGAAAACATTCAGGCTTTGTGAGCCACATTAAGTCTCTTGCTTCTTTGTATTACATTTTACAACCCTTTATACTTACATTTTGAAGCTGACGCAATTCCTGGAACATAGACATGGGCTCCTCTTAATACAGCGTTGCCACACTGGGCTCCAACAATGACTTCGCATTGCTGTTTTTTTATATTCTTCCTAGGGTTTAAGACAGGAGAAATTTCACACAGTAATATACATCCAACATGTACCAATCTTTTCAATGTTTCGACTTACACCCTAAATAACCTCTTTAGTCCTCATCGCCCCAAAATAATGCCACTAATGAATGAATAAGAGAAAGGTGAAAATAAAATCAATATTGAGAAAATAGTTTTTTTTTAAAAAAAAAGGAAGATGGGCATTTGAGAAAAGGGAAAAACAGGAAGAGGTCCATCTGATGGAAGGCAATAAAGTGGCACCCAAAACTGCTTAATCATTCAACAAACTCTGCTGTTTTCATAACAGCATTAGAAGAGAAATAAAGTCCATCTTCAAACATTCAAACAGACAATATACAAGGAAGTCAAAACATTTCTTAAGTGGTAGATTGTGGCAAGGTAAATTATTAGTATTTTAAGCCAGAGGGACAATTTTTTTCTTTCTTTGTTGCCCAACTTTTTAAAAATGTTTTCCAGTTCCTCACCTCCAATTATTCCTTAGATCACTAAAATCGAAGTATCATTTCTAAGGCTCAGAACGACTTTTTCAAAGGTCAGGAGGCATCAATGTGATCAGCCCAGTATAATCTTTTTTCTTTTTTTTTTTTTTTTTTAAAGCTGTTACAGGTATGAAATAAGACTGAACCACAGGAGAAATACAGCCTTTTGGACTCCCCTGCAGTTTCTATAGCATCCATTCATCTCTTGGAAGCACTGAGAGCTAAGCTACCAAGAGGGTTTAAGGATGCCAAGCCCAGTATAATCTTGAGCACCGAGTCTCTAATGAGCTTCCCTGGTTGGCAACACTTCACATGTTGTCACCACTTCTTGCTGAGGTGTGTCCTACCTTCCTTGCATGGTCTCTAGGTGACTGAACTTCTCACTAAACTTCTCAGCTTTATACTACTCCTTCCTGGTCCCATATATTCTCAGTGCTCATTCTCTATTTCTTAATGAGTTTCAGGGCCCAAGTTCCAAAATATGCTACCATCTCTTCTTACTTTACATCCTGTCCCTCTGGCAATCTCATGGTTTCAATAATCACTTACAGCCCTGGCTGGTGTGGCTCAATGGACTGAGTGCTGGCCTGCTAACCAAAGAGCCACTGGTTGGATTTCTGGTCAGGGCACATGCCTAGGTTGCAGGCCAGGTCCCCAGTTTGGGGCGTATGAGGGGGAACCACACATTGGTGTTTCTCTCTCTAAAAATAGTCTTTTTTAAAAAATCGCTTACAAAAACAATCCATGAATTCTAATGCTTAGCCATTCTAGACACTGAATTATTATGTCTAATTACCTGCAAGTGTCTATATCTAGGTGTCCCCCAGTTACTTCAAACTCAAGTTCTAAGCACTGTGATTTTCCTCTGATCCACACCTCAAAACCTGGGCAACACCCCAAATCTTCCCATCCTCCTGTTTCCAGTCTTGGACAAAGTGTCCTTATCTAACCGGATAATCAACTAGAAACCTCAGAATTAACTTAAATCCTTTCTTCCTAAATGTGTTAACTCAACATACACGGAGTCACCAAATCACGACACCTTCAATTCTCCAACAGGTGTTCTGGGCCCATTCCATGACATCAAACATGTATTTCTTAACAACTTTACTGAATAGCTTCCTGCCTTTTATCTTTGCTTGCTTTCAGATCTTCTTTATTTCTCTGGCATTCTGCAGTTTCACTGTGGAGTATCTAGACATGGATTTATTTTTCACTTTTGGCTTCAGACTCAGAGTACTTCCTAAACTTGTTTTTCATCAATTCTGGAAAATTCTTATTCAATACATTTTTCAATATGTCTTACCCCCATTTTTTTCCTAATTTATCATCTAGGACTCACTAGAAATATGAAGTACCTTTTTCATTCTATTTTTCCATGACTCAACTTCACATTTTCAACTTCTTTATCTCTGCTGCATTCTAGATAAATTCCTTTGAGTTACCTACTTCAGTAATTCTTTGTCAGTTGAATCTATCCTACAGTTTAACTTGCAGAGCTCAGGAAAGAAAGCATAGTCCATCCTGTGAAATAAGAGTTAACAAAAGACTTGAGACTGTTATTCTTAGAAAGGCCTGCTTACAAGATTGGCCCTTGGATAGCATCTGGAAACTTGACTGGGATACAGTTCCTGACACTGATGTAAAACTTGCCCTATTGGTAAAAGTGGTACATTGTTCCTAACCTGTTTATACAAGCAGGGCAATTTATTCTTAATACCTGCTTTTTGGGAGTCTGGAATTCTCGTATATGCTAGGTAAAGGGTACCTACATGACCAACACCCAATAAAAACATTGGGCACCGGATCTCTAATACGCTTCTCTACTAGACAATCACTTTATACACGTCACAATTGGGTGTTGGAGAAACTAAGCACATCTTGGTAACTTCACGCGGAGAAGACTCTTAGAAACTTGTGCCTGGCTTCCTCTAGATTTTGCCCCAGGCACCTTTCTCCTTTTGCTGATTATGCTTTTGTATCCTTTTGTGTAATAAATGTTCGCCATGAGCGTGACTATACACTGAGTCCCGTGAGCCCTTCTAGCCAATCACACTTAAGGGTTGTCTCAGGGTGCCCAACAGGAGGTCTGCACTAGAAATCCAACATACCAAGTCCTGGTGTTTTAGTAATAGAGGACAGAGAAAAATGTAACCAAAAAATACTCAAAAAACTACTGGAAGATTTGTAACTAAAAAGTTATACAATGTTTCATTAAAAACTGAGAGAGAATAGTGAAAATCAAACTACACCCTAGCCAAATTTCTGAAGTTCAGTGAGAAAGAACTCCCTAGATCTTGGAGCAAAAACCAAGATACTGTTAAAAAGGGGATAATTCTTTTTCTGGCCGGGATATCTTCATGGCTACAACTGATTCCATATTGTCTACAAAGTACCAAGGGAAATAACATGTAACCTGAAACTACTATAATCAGCCAAGTTGTTGTTTAGATGTAAAGGCAACAGGTAATTCTCAAGCAAGAAAGTAAACAGCACATGAGAGACATACTTTGGAGATGGAAGCAGATGCTGCAGATCTGATAAATGATTATAGTCACCAATCAAGAGATTAATCACGGTAAAGAACTCAGAAAGAAACTATGCCATTAGGACTAAAAGAAAGCATCAAATCTATTTGAATTGTGCTTATGGAATAAAAATGTGATGAACTTTTACAATATTAAAGAACTAATATAGTAAATAAAAATTGGCTGGTGGGAGTTTAAGGGGAAATTTAAGTGTAAGAACTTCCTCCCTTTATATAGTAGAAAGTCAAGAGATAATCATAGTGATGGTGAGTTTAAAAAAAGTAAATTAATTGACTTCCTCCTTTTAGAAATGCAAGGTAGGTATGTGAATCTGCAATCCTAAATGACTTCTGAATACTTTCAGATAGTAACTCACCATTTGTATTTTATAATTCACTAAAGTTCTGATGAATAGCCTATATCACTATAAAGAATAGGATGAAAGGATTAGAGGGATTAGGTAAAAGCAGTTAAGTACAGAAAATAATCAAAGTTAAACTGTCAAAATATTTTAAAAGAACTAAAATGGCCAGTATTAGCAAGAATGGAAGTATCAGAATCTTTAAAATGCTATTAGAAACATTAACTGGTACATTTTTGGGGAGGGCAATATGTCTCCAACTAAAATATGCACAAACCATTGAACCAGTGATTCGATGTTGTAGACTTGCTTATGTAAGTCCACAGAGAAATATCCTACGAATATTCACTGTTGATAATAATGAAATACAAAAAAAATTAAATGTCTATAAATAAAGGGCTGAAAAACTAAAACTGAGCTGAATGATGAAATATAATATTCATGTTGCTATTGAAAAGAATGAAATAGCAATATATGAATCAGGGAAAATTATGGACACCACGGAAACATGTCCACAATATACTCTGAAATAAATCAAGAAACAAAACCTTAAAATACCTGTGACTGTGATCAACTGCAGTGACTGATTGGTTTAAAACTGAATAGGAAATAGCAGAAGTCAGAACAGTGGTTTCCTAGTAGGAAAGCAGAATGCAGGAGAATTTCATGGGGTGATGGAAATACCTTGTCTGGGGAGAGTCTTGGCTACAAATTGTACACATTTGGCAAAACTTAGAAAACAGTATACTTAATTAAGATCTCTCCATTTCACTGTATGCAAATTTTACCTTAAAATACATAAAATATGGAACTTACAAAATCAATTTCTAGCTTGTAAAAGTACTACATGCTTTCGGTGAAAAATAAAACAGAAATGTTACAAGTGAAAAATCTCTTCTTACCCCCTTTCTCCCAATCCAACCTTCTCATAGTTAACCACTCAAAGTTAAACCCTGTTAATAACTGGGTATGTTATAGCTTCCAAACACTTTTCTATATATAAATAAATATACACAAATATGTTGTTGTATCTTAATAGCAAACGAAATATAATTATCCTATGCACAGCAACCCCACATTAAAGACTATTTAATATTCCACTACATGGATAAATGATAATTTATTGAACAATTGCTTTACTGTTGACCACTAAAATACTTCAAAGCTTTAACAAAATATGCATTTTTATAGTTATTATAATTCTTAGAGGTATAAAAAAATTATACCATAATTGGGGATTTTAAAATCTCAAGGAAAGAACTTCCATACAATATGAAAGCCTATTTTTTTCAATTTTCAAACATGCCTTCCAAATACATTAATGAGTAGAAAGAACAATGCCTGTTGTAGTCACAGGATATACATAGTAATTTAATACAACTGTCAATTAATAAAATTTTACAAACATATCAGCTATGAAAGTAGGAAACATGTTGATTTGTATTTTTGTTATAACAAAAAAATGTGTTAACTTAGAAGTGGAATCTCTTGAGCTATATAAGTAAACAAAAGGAAGTTTCTTAGAAAGAAGAGGGGAAAGAAAACATCAATCACTACACAAAATGGACCTAAAATGCATTTGGGCTCATTCCTTGTCTTCTTTTGTAATACTTTCCATAGTAGAGCACAAAGACAGCATTTATAAATTTTTGAATTCCTATCTATATAAAGTTAATAATAACAGAGAAACTCAGTATGATCACCAAACAGTAAATAAATAACCTGTGATAAATTTTTCCTTAGAAGAATACAATTGGAAAATTAAATAGTTACAAACCTAGGTCCAATAACAGGAATGAGTAAGACATCCTGAAGGTCTGGATGCTGAAGAATAGGAACACTTAATCCATTAAACTGCTGTTAAAAGTAAACACACAGGGTTATAAAGCAATCAATATACCTGGTAAATTTCAGTTTATGGAGATTTTCAGTATCATTACCCAGCAGAAGCTTGGTTAGTGATATTTTCATGTTATTCCATGGATACTATAAAAATCAAAGCCTTCAGAACAACTATGTGCTCTCTATAATTCTGAAGTATTCTGACTTTTTTTCCAATTACAGTTGACATTCAAATATTTTTTTGTTTTTGTATTTGTTTCAGGTGCATAGCACAGTGGTTAGACAATTATATAATTTATGAAGTGAACAACCCCCCGCCACAATAAGTCTAGTTTCTACCTGGCACTGTTATTACACAGTTATTACAATATTATTAACTATCTCCCCTATGCTGTCCTGACTTCTTTACGAGTTTCAATTTGCTTACTGTTTGGCTTTAGAAATACAAACCACGTTTATTTTAAGAGACTTGCTTTAAAAACATGTCCTATACAGAACTACATGTAGGACTCATTTGAGAAAAACTTTTGAATAAGACACTAAATATTGCGATTATTAACTACAATTTATTATACACTATCATTGTGCCATGTTGATTTTGATGAGGGAAATAAGTGTTTTTTTTGGCAAAGGTTCAGGACTTTCAATATCCTCTATCATACTGAATATGAACATATGGCTGTTAGACTGGAAGCAGGTTCAGGGCCATCGGTACAGGCGCTGAAGCCAGCTCACACAGCCTCATCGCAGCCAACTGCAGGCATCACTTCCCAACTCCGTGGTCATGCTGGCAGCTTGAAATTGAACACAGTGCGGGTATTTACACAACTTAAATTGGCAAAACATCACAAAGGGTTGTTTCCCAGAAATGGGCTGTTGAATGAGTATAAGCACACCACTGCTGCCGGCAAAAGATGACTGGGCACTCCACACAGCAAGAAAAAAAGAACAGAATGGTGGATTGGATAGCAAGGACTGTATATTCCATCAAAGGACAACATGCATATATTTGAGACCAAGTCTGCTATGCAGACTAGAGATTGTCAACACATTAATTTTCACATACTACATGAAAGAACAGTAGTAATAATAGATACTTTCTTTGCCCTGTAGCACCCATATACTACCTAGAAAAGAACTTCTAAAATTAACTTATTTGTAAGTCGGTAAGAAAAATTATTCATATTTTAGAAATCTAATTACATTTCTATCAAGTCAACAGGTCTTATTCGATTAGTCACCTCTCCATTTTTTTCTCTTTCTCATTATCTGATGGTCTTACAGGATCCAGGCTCTGGTAAACTGATCTTTCCAAAGAAAGGAAAGATAATGACCTTTGTCATTTGTTTTTGTTTATTTTTAGGAGTACTATTTGCTTTACACTATAGAAATATTTTATAGAGAGATCAATCCTTCTGAAGCCAAGATTATTCTCTTTTCTGTCAGATGTGAAAATGATACAGAAATAAAACTCGTAATACCACACCTATGTGCATAACATTCATAAAACACAAACTTATTTTTAAACCTATCTTTTTAAACCTGCTTTTTGTTTCTGCCTCATGCCCTCTTTAAAAACAGCCTTATTGAGCTTTAATTTACATATCATAAAATGCGTCCATTTTAAATGTACAATTCAATGATTCTGAGTAAACTTAAAGAGCCGAGCAACCATCACCCCAGTTCAGTTTTAGATAACATCCATCACCACAGTAAACTTCCTTAGGCCCACTTGTAGCCAAGCCATGTTCCTAGCTCTAACCGTAGGCAACCACTAGTTTCTTTCTCTATAAACTTGTCTTTTCTAGACATTTTACATAAATTAAATCATACTATATGTAATGTCCTTTGTCTGGATTCTTTCACTTACAGTAATGTTTCTGAGGTTCAACAATGTTGAAGTACGTATCAGTCTATTACCTTCATTGCTGAATAGTATTCCACTGCAAGAATATACTACATTTTGTTTTTCTATTCACCAGTTGACAGGCATTTGGATAGTTCCTACCTTTTAGATATTATGAAAAATGCTGCCATAATGTTCAAGTATTTGTATGGATATATGTTTTTGTTCCACTCTTTGGTTGTACTAAGTTTATGCATAATGTTTTAAGAGACTATCAAATTATTTTCCAAAGAGGCCATCTGACATCCCCGTTTGCAAAGTATGAAGGTTCCAGTTTCTCCACATTCCCACCAACTAAATTATAAATTATTAAATGTCAATATGTGGCCCAGAGAAATTTGGGGACAAAGTGCCTACTCCTATATCATCCCATTCAGGACTTTTCTTTAGGACACACAATAGCTTTGGAATATGAACGCAATAAGAAAATTTATAGTCTAAAACATCTTCCAAGTCCCCTTTCCTGCTAGCAATTAGAACTACTATACCCTCAATTTCCTATGTAATGCTTAAGACCTTGTCTTCTCTGTCTAATCTTACCTTTAAGGAAAGTGATTCAAAGCCCATCCAGAGTGATTCTGTCTTATCTTCAATACTAGTCCATGAGATGTCGTATACCCATCAGTCTGGGAGACTACAATATCTAAACTTTAGGAATAATTTGCTAGCAAAGGAAACAATCTGGATCTTCCTCAGTGATGGACACCTGATTGGCCTCAAACAATTTCTTTTCTTCAAGCTAAAAGCATATATGCATGGTAACATAAAAGCAACAATTTAGTTGCTCAGAGGAACTGGTTATATTTTATGCCTAACATCATTAATCTCAATGAAATTATTACTATCAATAATTAAAACTCAGGTTAATTTTTCTCCAAGTCTTACACTCAGATACCACAGCTGGTTCTTCTTACAACATAGTCATCAACTCACAACTGGAAATCTATAGAACTGTTCTTAAAGAGACTCAACACTAATGATATTTTTCTTAAAGTTTCTGAATACTGTAGCTAGAGCAGACTGATAACAGTGATATACAAATGGAAGCCCTTCAATCATCCCTGCCTCTTGCTTTTAATTTACATAATCAGATAGAAATAGGTCTGCTGACACCTGCAAGTTAATTGTTCTAAGAGCTGTAATAATTACAAAATGCAATTTGTAGTACCCCCATCAGGCATCTATTTTTCACCATTTTACATTTCTTTGGAGGCAATTTCAATGCAGTGGATGAAACACAAAATGTACAGCTTTTGAAAGCAAATTATGACAATATAATTCAAATACTATTTTTATGTTTAGAACTTATAAAATGCCATGATGTTTTCACATTCATAAAATCAGTATTTTGCCAAAATACTTTATTGAACAAAAAATAATTTTATTTTAAAAATATATTATTTTTATTTATTTTTATTAATTTAAGAGAGAGAGGAAGGAGAGAAAGGCGGGGAGAGAAAGAGAGAGACAGGCAGACATTGATTTGTTATTTCATTTATTTATGCACTCATTGGTTGATCCTGGTATGGGCCCTGATCCACGATCAAACACACACCCTTGGCGGACGGGGAGGATGCTCCAACAGAGCTACTTGACCAGGGTCTAAAAAAATGTCTTTTTCATACTGTTTTAATTTCATGCTTTTATTAAGACAATAATGTACTTCTCCATCAGGTTTTTGTTTCGTTTTGTTTTGTTTTTTAATGTCAATTAAAAACAAAAGCTTACAGGTAATCAGTAGGTTCTGCCCTACCCCTGGGCTTACCTCAGCTATACAATCTGCCCTCCTGAAAATTACACACTGCTTACTAAAAAAACTACAGACTTCTAGGATTAGACTGGACTTCTTCACATGTATTTTAATGATGAAGCAACTGAAGCCCAAAGGGCTGGGTGACCTATCCAATCACTAAAAATAAATTCAAAATCAGAAGTGCTAGCTACATAGTCTAGTATTACCACTCACTCTGTAAGCTTGGAGAATTTACCATTCATGATCCTTAATTTCTTTATTTGTAAAATAGTATTATGTCATTCATAGGATTTTAATGGGGAGCAACATGACATAGGTTGTATAAATGTAATTATGTTCATAATGACATAAAAAATTTGAACAAACCTTCTGAAGTTCATCAAATAACAGAGCTTTCACATGTTGCACTGAGGCCAGATGTGTATTAACTCTGACAGTTGTGAATGATGGAGGGTGTGACAAGTGATTTAACAGAGTTTCAAACTTCTTTTCTGCTTCTTGTTTACCAAAAGCCAACACAACCTGGAAAAAAAAAGAGTAAGTTATTATTTCAATTTCATTATACAAATTAAAAGTATTAAGCAGAACATGCATATATATGTTTCAACTTATGAATCCCTTTCAGCAATTATTCAGTTCCATTTCATTTTGCTGTATTGTTTATGTGTTAATAACACTTGGGAAATGGCAAACCTACTTCACAAGGTTCTTGGGTTTGACTGTGATAATAAACATCTAACAAAATGCCCAACATAAAGGCTTAGAAAAACATTGCCTTAACTTCAAAGCATTATTAACGTTTTGAATGTGTTAATAGCTGCTATGTTTATCCATATAAATTCAGGATTTCATTCTACTTATTTATAAAGCATTAACTGTTACATCAGTTCTGTAAAGCTATTTATTTGCTAACCCATATCCTAGAGCAATGGTGATTAGTCTTTTAAAATACCAGAATTTAAAGAAGACTGATAGTGCCATACAAAAATCCAGCAAGACATCAGCTTTTTAAATGGTTATTAGTAAGTATAATAAATAGATACCGTCCCAAAAAGATGGGTAGCAAGGGTACATGTCAGAAATGAAGTTGCAGACTCACACAACAAAGTTCCCCTGTAATTAACTGAAGCTTTTCAAGACATGGATTTCCCCATTTTTGTCATCTTTGACTATACCCTGCCTCACACAATCTTTATGAACCATTTGCCAGCCTGAGTATTAGTACTTACTGAAGGGTTTGTATAAAAAAAAAACAACAACCTGAATGTTTCTTTACCTTTGATACTTTTTACAAAGACAAGTTTTTTTTTTCTCTTTCATAAAATCATAGTGGGTTTCAGGTGTTCAAGGGGGAAAAAACGTATTTGGATTTTTTATAATACAATGTTGGATCATTTTAAAAATTGGTGAGAGCCCTGGCCAGGTGGCCCAGTTCATTGGGAGTGTCATCCCATATGCCAAAAGGTTGCAGGTTCGATCCCAGTCAGTGCACATAACTAGGTTGGGGTTCCATCCCCTGACGGGGTAAACTGATGGATGTTTCTCTCTCACATCAATGTGTCTCTGTCTCTCAAATTAGTAACATAACCTCCAGTGAAGATTACAAAATAATGAAAATTTTTAAAAATTGCTGAGAAAAAATACTGAATGCCTCCATTTCTCTATGTCTTTATATTTTAAGTTCTTTGAAATCGAGAATATATTTTCTCTCTTCACACTGATCAGTCCCATAACATAATCTTTGGAAATTAAGTGTAGAAATAAAATCTAAAGGTCATGGCTTCAGTAAAATTTTCAGAAGTGAGTGACATTCAAGTGGCTTTATTTTGAATGGAAAACCAAAGATTTAGAAAATACAAAATTGCCTAGAGAGATTACAAATCTGTACATTTTTAGCCTCAGATTTCAGTACTATTACTTGAGAACTGTGTCAATTTGGATTAGTTACACGATTCTCTGGACCTTCAGTTCTCACTGCTCAGAGAAGAGGAAATCTCTACCGAAAGACTGCCAAGAGAAAGATGTACAAGGTCTGCAAACCTCCTCCGCACAGCTCGTGACATTTAAGAGGCCCTCAACAAATTATAGCACCTCTTGCACCTGAGCCACAAAGCAAGCGCCCTAGAACTCTGCCTGTATCGTCAAACAAGGCAAATTCTCCAAGGCGGGTGGGCTTTTCTTGTACATCTTTGTAAGCCCTATGCTGCCACTGCCAGGAATAGGACCGCTTTTTCCCCTCTTCCTTTTCCCATCCCTAAGTGTTAAAACATAGGTCATTCACTCCTTCTCTCGGAAAACATTAATTAAATACCTAAGGGAAGATATTGGCATTTCCTACGTTCAGAAGGGCAAGTAGCAAGAAACAAAGGCTGTAAAGATTGTTTCATTCTGACTCTTTTCTATTATTTGTAGGGTCTGTAAATATTTGAATGTTTGCAAATACCATCTTACATGTTTAGCTGACCTACCTCCTTATTCATAAAGCCCTCTTTAAGATAATTTTCCACCTCAAGTCTCAAAGATATTCTAGGGAAAATAGACATTTTTTTTCTACTGCTAAATTCTCCTCCAAGAAAAACGCTCAACACGATGCTTTTTCTCGTCCTGAATTGCAGCGAGCGGCGTCTGGACAAGTGAATACCACCCACAACGTGTCGGGACCACCAGATGCCGGGAAAACCGCGCCGCTCACGCCGAGTTAAATTCGAAAGTGCGAAGGAACAGCGCATCCAGTTTTAGTCGGTGTCCTCGCCTCCACCACACCCATCCTCGATGCTCCTCTAGGAACGCTCCTCACGGTATCACTGTGAGGCGACGCCCCTCACGCTGCAGAGAACCGAAAGTCAAAACGAGCGAATCCTTTGTGAACTGGACAGAGACCTGGAAACCACCGTCCCACCAGCTCACCAGCACCCAACCTAACTTAGGCCTTATTTCCAAACCCGCGCCTCCAATTTTTCGGCAGAAAGCGCTTGCAGGGAGCGTCACTTCCCGCGACGTGGCCCACCCCTGCCCTGCCAACCAATCCGCAGCCACAGATTTCTGCCACGTCATGACTCCAGAGTTCCGGAGCGCCGCGGGTGGGGCTGCCGAGTGCGGAGGGCGGGGAGGAGCCGGGGCCGCGGGCGAGCTGGGGAGAGCTTTGCAGAGGGGAGACGGCGCCGAGTCGCGGCAGGAAGGACGGGCTGCTGCAGATCCAGCAGTTGGGAGGGGACGGCTGGGGGCCGAGGGAAATACGGCGATAGTGTGAATTGGGTTGATGACTTTGCTGCCCTGAATAGGTGAGGGGTCCAATAACTACCGTGCTAGAGGACCTCCAAAGAAACGATGAAGTCTAAGTTTATTCGGACCTCAGGCACCATTTGATTTCATGAAATTACCTATTTCGGGCATACAGGTCTGACTTTAATTGTGAACATTACTCAAATTTTCAAGAGCTGGGCTAATGGATGCTCAGGCAAAACTTAAAAAGCCACAGATAGTACTTATTATTAGTTGTTTTACACTGTAAAGCTCGGGAGACCTTTGGCAAAATCCTTTTATGTTCAAATGAGAAAAAGAGATACAGAGGGACAAGGTACAAAATGAAAGTCACTGAGCCATCTTATGATTGGGAAACTAAAAATAATTCTCCTGTCTCCTTAAGCGTTTTTGCTATAATTATTAACATATAACTGTAGGAAAGTTTTTGCTTAGGTCTTTTTAATTCTCACACGAAGATATTTTTGAAAGTATAAAAGCTACTTTCTATGATACATCAATCTAGTCCTGCAAAAACAGTTTAAGTTATGGCCATTATGCTATACAACACCCTTGCCAGGGGGTTATCATTATCTCTGTTACATGAGCAAAACGAGGCTACGGGAGCTGACGTTACTCTCCAAGGCTTCACCGTCAGGGAGAAAGCCAGGATAAAGATCATGGCCGCCTGACTTGGAAAGCTGATACCTACTCTTCTCACCATGGCATACTTCAATTGAAGTTCATGGGATTCTTCTATGTTTAAACCAAATTCAAGTGATTAGGAAAATGTCTAGACCAGGTATTTCCAAAGGAATCTTCGCAGCCTCAACATTGTGGTGACCATGGCACCAATAATGGTCAGAATCTGTATTTAGGAATTAAGGGAGAGGGAAGAACAAATTGAACTATTGGGTTGGCGTGGGTAAAAAGTTTGTTGGGTGTTTTTCCATAAGATGGATCTAGAAGTCTTTAACTTCATTTGAAACAATGTTGTTAGATTGTGACAGCTGTCATATAAGTGTGCATTTAAAAAAACATCAAAATTGGTGAACTTTTTGTAGCCATTTTAATATTGAAGATGGAAGAAAATACGCAATACTTTTGGCATATTATGCTTTATTTCAAGAAAGGTAAAGTCAAAACAGAAACGCAAAAAGGAAAAAAAAATGTGTGTAGTGTATAGAAAAGATACTGTTACTTATCAAACGTGTCAAAGGTGGTTTGTGAAGTTTCCTGCTGGAGATTTCTTGGACAATGTTCTATGGTCAGGCAAACCAGTTGAGGTTGATAGTGATCGATTCGAGACATTAATTGCGAACAATCAACCTTCTACCACAAGGGAGATAGCCGGCATACTCAAAATATCCAAATGAATAAGTTATTGGTGAAAATAAAATATGTGTCCTTTATGGAAAAAATACAGACTTTTTGGCCAACCAGTAGATTGTAAACTCAGAGACGGGGGAGCCTTTACCATACCACTTTATAGCCAGTGCATAACACATAATAGGCATTCAAGTACTGAATGACTAGATAAATAGATGAATGGACATCTGTGTGAACTACAGGAAGAAAATGTTGATAAAGCACGTGTTTGCTGGAAATTAGTTTACTAGTTCAGCCCATGTGAACAGTGCTGAGGACATTTAGACTATCCTTGGCTAGGTATTTCTGTGGTGACTGTTATGCCTCATATTACAAACGTGAAGTTGGCGTAGTGATGTTGTCTAAAAGGGAAAACCCCTCTAAGGTTTTAGGCTATGTTGTTCTCAATGGGGTAATATGGCCTCCAATGGGGGTGGGGGACAAAAAAAAATCTTAGATGTAATCTTACAGTCTTAAATCTGTTTGCAATACTCTAAAACTTAAGGTAACACACACTCTCTCGCTCTCTCTCTTACTTTTAGGAAAAAGTAAGTCTAAAAGGGCTGGATATCTATTGATCTCAGCTCATCTGGAGACTAACCAACTAGGCTAAAGTCACAGTGAACATTATCCTAAAGGTTTAGAAGAGTTTTGTTCTAATTTTTTAAGAATTTTTCATTTTTAGTTGACAGAACATGCTGCCCCTGGATTTTTGGTTCAAGCCATGTACTTTATCTTAGTTAACTGAGTAAATAATTAAATTCAATTCCAGCTACAGCCAGTTCTCCCCAATACTATCTTAATTTTTAAGAGTTCCTTCTAAGAAATATTAGATAGAATATCAGTTTTAAAAAATTCCCTCATTGGCCCTGACAGTGTGGCTCAGTTGGCTGGGCATTGTTCCACAAAGCAAAGTTGAATTCCCTGCCAGGGCACGTACCTGGGTTGCAGGTTTGGTCCCCGGTAGGTGAGGGTGTATGCAAGAGGCAACCAATCAATGTTTCCCTCTCACATCAATGTTTCTCTCCCTCTCTTTCTAAAAATAAACAAATAAAGGAACATGATAATGCAATCATTAGGAATGTAACTTACTTTCTGAAGTGTTCTTTGGAAATAACTTTACTTAATTAAAATGAAATGCCAGTAGTCTTTCTCTCCAGTTCAATATATTTTAAGAAAAAAATACAAATGCTGTACTTAGAGCAAAACAAAGAAATTGAAATTTCAAGGGGAAAAAGAATCTTCGAACGTCGATATGAGAAACATTGATCTGTTGCCTTCTGTACGTGCTACGATGGGGAAACGAAACTGTACCATGATCAGGAATCAAACCAGCAACCTTTTGGTTTGCCAGATGATGCCCAACCAACTGAGCCACACTGGTCTGGGCTCAAGTGATGTTTAAGGAAAAAAAATCACACAGGTGTTTATTAAAAGTGCTACATTTAAAAAGCGTATTACTCAAAATTCCCTAGTCTAAATTCTTGACAAGCATTCCCATTACGATTTATACAATTGATACCAATGTACAATATGAACTAAAGTGTATTTCTAACAGATCAGTTATGGTACATCAGCATTTCAGTTTAAGTAAACTACAGCTATAGTCTGTTAATCAATCATAGTCATTTTTCAGTTGTGACTGGTTTTCTTTCCTTCGAGTTAGTATAAACTTCTAATTTCTAAATCTACCAATAAAAATTTTTAATGTGAAATAAATATTTTTAAAATATTATAGCAATCATGTCAGGTAAATTGTAGAAAACAAGAGTATATTAGAAAAGTTGATCAATAAAAGTTTCATACATTTCAAAAGTAGAACCAATAAAAATAGCAACAGTGTTGTGCAGATACATTCATTCCACCTAATTAAAAGTGAAAGAATTCAAATTTACTGTCTCTAAAGTATCATTTGGCCACCATAAAAATATTTAAGAAATATATAGGATTGTTGTTTTTTTTTTTGCTTCAAGGCTCTGAAAAAAAAAATGCTTTTCTCAGATACTTACCTTAGAAATTTGATAGCCAGGAAAAAGAAAAAAAAAAGAATGAGGTTTATGTCCATGTGTAACAATTGAAGGTAAATTACAAAACCTAAAGTTTGTTGTTTAATAATGTTTATTAACGTTCCTTTAAGCCTCTGTTAACACAAACACAAAATCATTTACATTTATGGGCCAATGCCTGATCATGAAAAGTTAAATACTGTAATTCGCATAAGCTCAGTACACACCTTTCCCTCTACTTTTAAGGTTAAAACTTGCCTTTAATATTGGAAATTTGGAGTATATCACCCCACATATAAGGCTTAAAAGGCTTCAAATCACAACATTGGGAAAACATAAGTCATATACTTATCCCTGTACTGATAATGAAATAGAGGCGTACCTTAGAAGTATTGTGGATTTGGTTTCAGACCACCACAATAATGAGAATATTGCAATAAAGCAAGTTACAAGAGTTTTGGTTTCCCAGTTCACATAAATGTTTACATTGTCCATTACGTGTGCAATAGCATTATATCTTTTAAAAAAATGTACGTACCTTAACAAAAAAAAGAAACACTTTATTGCTAAAAAATGCTAACCATCATTGGAGCCTTCATCAAGTTGAGATCTTTTTGCTTATGGACGGTCTAGGGGGGAAAAAAATCAGTTACTGCGATGAAACTCCCTTTTTGGAGGACCAGCTGGACTTGGGGAGAACAGCTGTTCTCTTGTGGCCCTATAAAGACTAGCTAAAGCTAAGGTAGAACTATCCTTTAAGCTGAAGCCAAATCAAGGCATAGTTGACCTCCTCTCCTGTTGATCCTAGTTTGAAGCTGTTAGTTACCTGGTTAGTTGTGTGGCTGTCATTGCTGCCGTGGGTGGACTGTGACTCCATTCACATGGTGTGCTGAGTTTCACAATCCTGACACATCTCTCAATACCACCCTTTCACTTCTACCATCACCCTTTTCTTCATCAAAATGTCTGTTTTATGAAATTGTTCATGTTCAAAGAAAGAGTTGAAATAAATTAGGGTTGAGAAGGGGATTCCAGGCCTGGGATTTACACATCTAGGAACAGCAGTGGCCTTAGTGTCATTTAGGGATAGGTAGTGAAATTGCTTGAGGCACATACACAGATGTGGTTCCTTAGCTTGCAGGAAAATAAATTATCAAGCTCACACATTCATGAGCTTAAGTACAGGCATACGGTGGGTACTCTTCTGAAGGGTATCGAAGGTTCTCAGCCGTTGGTGTCTAACTCACCCCAGGATCTTTTATAGCCCCCTTCCTGATGCACACACATGACTTAGGACAGAAATGAGCACAGGGATCCTTTTTGTTTTGGATCTCAGATTCTACTCCATGCAAGGCTTCTCTGGTCTTAAGGCTTTTCTCCCTTTTTTCAGGCCATCCTCTCCCATAAGCATCAATTCTAGGTTGTTGATTATATGTCTTTGATTATGAATGTATCCTTGTAAAACACAGTGCTGTGTATGTATGAATATCCTTCTTATACATGTGGTATTGTGCTATAGTTTTTGCGCTGCTACTTTTTTACTCAACATGTCTTGCTTGTTTTACATCTGCTTTGTTGCTTTGAACAGCTCTGTGGCACTCCAAAGTCGATGTCGGCTGTGTTACTTGTATGTCCACTTGGTGGATCCCTAGGTGACTCCAACACTAGGACCTATAACCCCTCAGCACACAGGCAAAGCCATGATGAACACCCTAATTGGTGTCCCCTTCCATGCTTGTATGGAAAGTTCTCGGTCACAGGTACTCAGGATAAGATTATAGGTCAAACAGGTTGATTTCTCAATGGTCTACCAAAATTTTGTTTAGATGGTTACTAACCCTCCCACTGGAAGCTTCCCATTTCTCCTCATCCTCGCTAGCCCTTTCATTGCCCAACTTTCTATTTTTCACCAGTCTGATGGGTGTAAAGTAGTACTGTGTTTACCTGTGCATTCACCCCATTCCCAGGAATTCAGAGAATTTCTTCATATGCCTGTAAGCCTTTCTGGTTTCCCTTTCTGTTAACTGTTCATTTCTCTTTACTCATTTTGTCATGGGGTTTTCCCATGTTTTTGTTTGTTCTCAAGAGTTGCTCAAACATTCCTGGCCAGTTGTAAGAAACTCTCAGAATGGCACTTAAATTTGGATATGTAGGGGTGTCCTTTACTAAACAGATATTTTTAATTTTAATGTAGGTGAATTAGCTATTTTGTCATATCACTTGTTGCTTTTTGATTTACTTACAAGTAGTTAAGATAGTTTACATTTTCTTCTCTTAGCATATTAACTTTATCTTTCACATTTAGGTCACTAAACAGGGCTAAATTCCAGCTAGTACATGCTGGTCTTTGCAATGGCTGGCATCTGCTCTGCACAAACATTTGTTCTCATTGGTTGATGCCAGGCTGTACTGGCTGCTAAGTATTATTACTTTTAAACTATTTGAAATTCACATTTGTATGAAATCCAAGATTTTCTCCATATAGTGAGCCCGTTTTTTCGGTGCTGTCTACTAATAAAATCATTAATTTTTGACTATGTGTGGTATAATTTTAGCAAGAGCATTATCACATTCTTAAATTTTTTGTTGGAATACCGCATTCCTTTGATTTTATATTGTAGGAAAGAAATCTTTATAATATTTAAATAACATAATATGACATAGCTCTCATTTTTTCCAGATCTTTTATGGCCATTGGTAAGTTTAAACACATGAAAATTATGTATGCATTCTCAGCAGAATAAATGGGAATACATTAAACACATCCATACACAACAAAGTGCAATAAAGGCAGGCTATACCTCTAGCTTGGGGTGTTAAATAGACCTGCTGTCAGGGGTAAAATAGTCTTCTCAATTAAGTTTGCTCCTTCAACTGGTTTCACGGAAATTAGTTACATTTTATCTCAGGCTGTGAAGCTTCTGAATTTGTTAGCATCTCACCATGAAAAAGAAAATAGAACTGAACCAGTTACGTAGCAAATTGATTTATATACACCCAGACTTCTGAGTTAATTAGTAATAAATTGAATTAAATTCCAGATGCAACCAGTTCTTCCAAGATTATCTGAAATTAACTTATAATAGTTTTAGTTGTGTTAGGTATATATATATATATTAGGTATAAATATATATATATTTAATTATCTAGTTTGACATAGGGTGTCCCCCATGAAATTTCAGTTTGTTTTGCTTCAAGTACAGCACTTGTAGGTTTCTCTTCTATTTTGTTGAACTTGAGAAACTACGGGATTCCGTTTTAATTTTTAAAAGTTATTTTCAATTAACACTTCAGAAAGTCTTCTTTTCTGTGAATTTGGGATCCACAAAAATACCAAATGCGTGGCGAAATTGGGAGCCCCTAAGTTAATCACAGAACTGAACCCTATGCCTACAGGCATGTCATGGATTTTCTGCCCATCAACTGCATTCAGAATCAAGAATCAAGGCGGAGCCCCAAGCTACAATCCAGCGCAGAGGACAGGTAGAGAGAGATGAGCCCCAGAGACAATTCTCTCTTCCATGCAGCAAAAGGAGGCAGCTCCAACAAACTGCAGTCCGCCCTTAGCTTTAGCAGCCAGGGACGCACCTGCCGGGCTGCAGACTCTAGAACGTGAACCCGGCACACGGTTCTAAACTGTGACGAGAGAGGAAGCGTTTACCCTGGGAAACTCCTCAACTCCCACGCACACTCTCTACTCCCACACGACTGGCTCAGCGGCGTCCGCATACCGGAAACGAAACCGGAGGAAGCGCCACGTCGAATGCGTGGGTTGACGTAAGCGCGATCACGTCAGGTGCAGTCCTTCCGGCAGTGGGTGGTACTGGGGTCGGGAGGAAAGGAGGAGCAGAGGCGGGGCTTGCGGCTTGTTGAGACTTTGGTGGGTAGGTGGGTTCAGAAAGAGGGGACTACGGGTCGGCGTTGGGCTCAGTGTGCTCGAAACAAAGGACTACAAGGTTGGGACTCGGCGCGACGCCTTCGGGCGGGTCGCCGAGCAGCCGATCGCGACTTCTTGGCCAATTGGTTTCCTCTCCGCGCTGTCTGAGTCGGCTTTTCCTGGGTCCTCCGCAGCCCGCGTCGCGGTGGGGGGCCCGGCGCAGCGGCACCTGCTGCTGAGGGACCCCGCGGCCCGCCCAGCTGCTCATGATGGGGCTGATCTTCGCTAAACTGTGGAGCCTCTTCTGTAACCAAGGTGAGAGGGATGGAGCTGCGCAACGACTCGAATCCGTGGAAGAGGGTTTGGTTGCTGAAACGGACAACGGCCGGCAGGGCTCTCGGTGGACACAGATGTTCTGGGACGCAGAGCAGTGACCTAGGCAAGGGAGCGGGTAGAAATTCAGTGTTTTGGGCTGGGAGAAGGTACAGGAGAGACCTGCTGTGTGGGAGAAATGGGAAGTCAGAAGGAGAAGCATTTGATGTCCCAGAACCCAAACTAAGAATTTTGAATTTTAGTGAAGCTAAGCGGAAAGCACCTATTGGTACGTTTAGGGTGCCTTTTCTGTCTCTAATTAAACATCCTTAGTTTTGCTCTAGGGTAGGTGTCCACCCTGAAACTTTTTTTTTTTTTTCTCCAAAACGGGTACTGCTTTGGGTTTGTTTGTTTTTTAAACGAGTACTGCTTTGTTTTCCGACCTGCTCTTTAAGTCAATGCGCTTTCGCGTTCTCTCTGAATTCGCTGGCCCTTTAAGACTCGGGAACGAGTCGTCGTTTGGAAATACACAGCTTTCTGAAAATCTTCATCCTAAATCCTTTTATTCTTTTCATGGATGTTAGACAACTAAAGGCTCTTAGTCGTAGGTAGGATCTTGCGTGCCCGTAATTAGTCTAGACTGCTTATGAGACATCTAAAAGTTGGAAGTCCAAAGGGCTATAGAAGTTGTAAAACCTGTTCTGAGTCAGAGAGAATGAAATGTGATGTTTTTGAAAAGAGAAAATACCCAGACAAAAAAGCGACAATAGGTAAAGTTTTAGGTATTCTTTTAATATTTTCTTAGTAATTGAAACCAGTTTTTGAATTCAACTAGTTTCATTTTGTATTTACTACCTGGACGTAATAAAATCCAGTGTTTTATGATGATACCAATTTGTTACCGCTACTGTGGTATCTTTTTCTGGATTTAAGATGTGAAGACAATGAAATGGTTTTACTTATTTTGTTTGTTTCAGTAGATAAGAACACTAAAATAATCTCTCAGGTTTATAAATGTAGAAATACGTGTATGCATACACATATGAAGACATATTCAATTACTACAGATACCGCTTTTCAAGTGATTTCAAAGTGGCTAGAATTTTAAGCCTTTATGAATATTGCCCATATATTTAATGCATTATTTTTTCAGCGGTTTATATTTTATAATCTTTTTTACATAAATTCACAGCTATGTAAAGCAGCATTCTTAAGACATGCTAAAAAGTATAAAGATTTATACAGTAGTCACCTGCTTATCTTTTCCTGTAGTTTAAGAAATAAAACATTATCAGAGTCTTTGATTCTCCCTGCTAACCTATCCCATTCCCCTTTCTCCCTTTTCTGTTTTATTACTACTGTTTATCATGTTTTTTGAGTGTTCCTTAATCAGACTAAAAAGAACTGGAGTATCTAGAGGGGAAATTAAGAACATGATGAAAGACAATTCATGTGATGCTTTTATAGTCACGTAACTGTTCAGATCTCCTAAATCCTTAATACTACTTAGATTTTTCCTTTAACTTTCCTGTTGTATATTTACTACTAGTGGGTTTTTTGTCATTTTGTTCTCATTCATTTATGCAACTAACTTGTAGCCATAGGGCATAAACCAGTCTTTAGAGTTAGGCATGGTAGATACAAAGATGTAAAAACAAACAGGAAAGATACAGTTACTTGCTCTCATGGTGCTCCAAGATCAGTACATGTTAGAAAGAAGTTGGAAAGAAATGCAATGTGGAAAATTATGTAACTGATTGTATAAAAGTGTGGCCATGGCACCAAAAGGAAGTGATTACTTTTTCTCAAGTGGTTCCTGGAAGACTAAGAAAAAGGTATGTTTGCACTTTAATGATAAGTAGGAATTTACAAGGCAAGTTAGGCAGGTTGAGTAGAAGGGGCATGTTATTCTAGGCAAAAGAACTAATAATATGCAGATGGGAGAGGAATTAGTTTTGTGCGTGGAAGGAAGCTGAAAATAGTTTAGTTTGGCTGTATTTGAGTTTGCCTGTGAGGGAGTTAAAGGAGATGAAGTTGGAAAGGTAGCCAGGGGAACCAGATCACAGAAGGCCTTGTTTGTTAACTAAGACTTTAAACTGTGCAGAACAAGCCATAGGAGCAGTTGAAGACTTCAGTCATGGTCTGTTATTTTTGACCAAGATATTGATATTTTAGTCCTGTTATTTTTACTTTCTATACTGACAAAATTAACTGACCACCTCAGCTTTTTCCATTTTTCACCGCTATAAGACATCTAATCCCGAGATAATCAAGTCACTCAATCTTGGTTATGTATTAGAATAATCTGCCCAAGGCTCACCTCAGACCAGTAAGTCAGAATGGGGTGGGATGGTCTGGGCATCAGTGCCAAGATAATGCAGATGTGCAGCCAGAGTTGAGAGTTAACTTTTCTTACCTTAGATGCTGCTTTCCCTTATCTTTCTTCCAGTTTTTGCCTCACTCTCATCTTTTTTTTTTTTTCTTTAGCATTTTAGACCACCAGGCATCTTTTCATAAACTTATCTCTCTGGGAATAAGTATACTATAAAGCATGTATTGTCTAAGTAAAGCTATTACATAGTACATGAGTTAATCTCTGTAATTTTGTATTCCTTAATTTTAAGCTACAAGACTGATTACCTTGACATACTTATCAGTGAAAGAAATAATGTGAAAATCTTGATTATCTTTATGAACCTTATTTTATATATCTATATGGTTGCATATGTTTTTATATAAAATAAATATATGTGTGTCTGATATCTTTAAATTCATCTCAAAAGTTGAGCATTTCTTTAACTTTTTTTGGTCTTCTCTCTGTTGTTACTGTCCATCAGTTTTTTTCTTGTTTTACCCAGAATGAAGGATGAATGGAATGTGGTTTTAATGGTAGTGAATTTTCAGAACCAAATAACAACACTATAATTTCATTATCTTATCATTTCTTATTGGTGAATTTCATGTTTTCTTGAGCACTAATGGCCAACTTTTTTATGCCATTGTTCTTCTGACTGCTCAGATCTGCTCTCATTTCTCTCTTAATTCTGGACATGTTGCTGGTTTCAAACATATGAAACTTAAACTTACCATCTGTCTGTTCCCTGTTTTCTGGAATACTCTCTGTCCTTTACTCCATATGGCTCAGATTTCTGATCCAATGTGAGTCCTCAAGAGGACTTCCCTGACCACTCTTCCCACCCCAATACACATTCTCTATTTTTAGGACTGACATTCTTGTAAGTTTGTTTACTTGTTTGTTTCTCTCAATAGAAATAACTTCAAAGGCATGAACTTTATCTTATTCATTATTGTATCTCCAATCTAAAAAAAAATTTATTGAGTTTTTTGATGTTTATAAACATAAAATTTTATATTAAAGCAACAGCTTCTTAAAGTTAAATAGTGCTAAAATCTTTGATGTTAGTCAAATCTCTTTAATTTCTTGACTTTTCCAGTACATATTGTACTTCCATATTTTTAATATACATATGTGGAAATTTTAAATATAATTTGTGTTTTTAATTGGGATATAATTGACAAAATTATGTTAGTTTCAAGTGTACAAATCATTCGTCTTACGGTAGAAGAGAAATTAATACCTTTGTGACCTTTTCCCTCATTATCCCAGTATAGCTTTTTTGTTTAATCACGCTGTCTTTTCATTATTATAACTATAAAGGTTTGTTGCTGCTAAGCCACAGTATGCTAAAATTGTCTCCCTTTTTTCCTACAGTTTTTTCCCCTAGAATAACTGTAGCATCTCATTGCTTTAGTTTCTATGTACACTTGACCAAGTCATTTCATGTTATTCAGAAACTCTCTGTACTAGTTTTCCCATATCACATGTATCAGATGCTTTATCCTTATTCACCACACCCTCACTGTTCCTTCCTGCTCCAAACTGGACTTCTTTCCTTCTCTGCCTGGTATACAACTGTTCTGCACTCATCTTTGCTATCATTCTAGGAATTTACTTTTTATTAGAACTAATGTCCTTGTTGCTTTGCCTTTATTTTACTTTGATGAAGCACATCGTTCAGAAATTTCCTGCAAGATTGTCCAAGGTGATAATTTTTTTGCAATTCCAGTGCCTGAAAATGTATTGATCTGCTCTTAGTTTTGATTTATAATTGGGCTGGATATAGAATTCTGAGTTGGAAACACTTCAGATTTTGAAGGTATTGATTGTCATTGTCCTCCAGCTTCCATGGTTGTTGAGAAGACAAGTATCATTCTTATTCTGAATTTTTCTGTCTAGTAGATTTTAGGATTTTCTGTTTACTTCTGGTATTTTTTAAATTTGAAAGAGGTTTACCTTGATTTAGTTTTCGTTTATTGCTCTAGGCCTTCTGAACCTTTTAAAAATAAAGTTGTACCTTTTTTGGTTCTCTTTCTTCATCTGGCCTCTATTTTTTTTTTCCACGCTAGTGAAAAGTCAGGCAATATTTATATCTTTATTTGTCCTTTCTTTCTTGCTGCTTTAAAGATTGTCCCTTTGTCTTTGATTTTCAGAAGATTAACCATGAATTACCTAGCTTTTCTTTTCTTTGTATGTATCTTAATTGGGGTTTGCTGAGCTTCTTGAATTTGTAATTTTTTTATATTTTTGTACTCACGCAGTTCACCTGTATTTCTCAAATAAGTTTTTTCCCCCAGAATTGCACAACATAACCTATTAGTAATACAGAGTCAATTGAGTGAGGACCATCATTTTTAAAAAGAAATGAGTATTCTAAAATAGAAACAATCAGAACGTTTCTCAGTTAGAAAAGGTACTGTTCTGTGAAACTTTTCAGTTATATGTGTCCTGAGTCATGACATAAAATGTATTTAACTGTGGTCATAGATCAACAAATTTGAAAACCAGTGATTAAATTGTCTGTGCTCCCTAACATTTGACTTGCAGATTACCTTCCCATGGGCTTCATTTGAATTCTGTAAAAAACTGCATTTCAGTATTTTCTTGTTAAGCCTTTCTTAATCATTGCTTATTTTCAGTGAGT